TTTCGAGTCAGGGGAGGGGGCTTTGGGCCTCCAGGTTCGGGAGGCACGGGAGGTGGACGCTTTGCCACCTCTGCCCTCCTGTTTTGCAAAGTCTCCATCTCCTTCACGAAAGCCAGGGAGGTAGCCACCCACTTTGGGTCGGCCAAGTGGGAGCACGGTCGAAGGCTCGATCCCGGCATGTTGGAGGGCGCACTGAACAAAGGGTTCGGCGGGTCTGGCTGCAGAGTGAGTATCCAGCCAAGTTCGGGCGACCCAGCATCGAGGACGAGCTGGTCGACCATCACCATCAGCAAAGCAAGGGCGTCTTTTGCCCCTCCGACTTGGTCGGTCGTGAGAAGGTCGAAGATCTGAGCCAGCTGCCATTGCACTAGGCCCCAGACCCGGTGGTCCCTGAAGCCCCCGTAGCGCTCGAGGTAACGAGTCATGACGGCGGGCTGGTGCACGCCTCCTGCAAAAGAGTGGAGCTCGATGGTCGGCTCCATTCGGCGGACGGCTGCCTCGTAAACCTTGTCGAAGAAAATCCCGGAGCGCGAAGCTAGCTCCCGTTGAAGCCTCAGGCGCCCAGCGGATCCTTTCGTAGACAAGGAGCTTGCCGAGCCAGATGCGAGGTCGCTGAGGGGATCTGACCCCGATATCTGGGCTACCAATGCAGTAAGCGCCTTGCTCTGGGCAAGCACTGCAGAGGCTATGGAGTTCGGCTCGTCTGTAGCGACCTCCTCGCCTAAGGCATCCAAAGGCAGCCCGTCCAAGCCCGGGATCGGGGCAGGCATATCCAAAGTCCTCCCGCGAGGAGGGGCTCCCAGCATGTCCGCGATGGCCCTGGCGCCGGCAGGAGAAGGGGCTATGGCCGCTGACACAGGAACTGACAGGGCTGGCCGAGGGTGCCCAGCTGCTGGAGGAGGCGGAGGCTCTCGTACTTGCCCCGCCTTTGCCAAGGTCTGAACCTGGGTGGATAGGGCTTGGAGGGCCTGCACTATCTCCGACTGCTGCGCCGCCAAAGCAGCGACCGTAGGGCGTCTCTTTGCCTCGCCTGAGGGCTTTGGCCGCCTTCCCAGCGGAGTGCCCGGCGGGGCCTGCTCCTCTGCTGTATAGTATCCCGCTCCTCTCTCGCCTTCGACCCCCGCGGCCCATGTGTTTGAAAAGGCAACCAAGTGAGTGGCCAAGGGGAAGAGATTGGTTGTCTCCTCGGCAAAAGGTACGCAATCCCCCAGGCCTTCGTCCAAAATCTCGACCCCTGCTGCCGCCTCCTCCCTGAAGTCGGCCACCAAAACGCTGACGTCCCGAGCGGGGTACACTCCCACCCACTCGCCAGTTTCGGAGAGCTCCACTGCAGGCGAAGTCGTGAGCACGTAAGGGCCGAGGATGCCTATAAAGCCTTCTCGAGATGCCTCTTCGAGCACGGGCTGAGGGATGTAGGCAGGGGGAAGGGCAAGGAGGAAGCCCCCGGCCCTCTTCATGATACAGTAGCACACCGCCCATAAGGCTTCCCCCTCCAGCTGGAGGGCTCTCTGGTAGTTCAGCTTCATAAGCACGACCTCGCCACTGTCCGCCGGCACGATGTCCTCCATCACGTCGACGAAGGGGCGGGGAAGCGTAGTCCTGCTCCCGCCACGTAGATCCTGGCTTCTGTCTCGGTCGGGAAGCCGTGAGAAAGGGTGTAGGTGCTCTGCAGGTTGTCCACAAGGACCAAGTAATCAGACCTATTATAGGCCAATTGCACTTCGTGGCTGCGAGGGGACCTCAGGATCACGTAGATCCTGGAAGGGATGCTCAGGCGGGGAGTGCAGCTCGGTGTTGTGCAGCGGCCTTGTAGGACCGCTCCGGCCCAGCAGCCGGCTGTCCACGCGCGACCGGCCCTCTCTGCCGGGCTAGACACTGAGGAACGGAGGTTCCGAGCGCTGTCCAGTAGCACAGGAGGGATGGCAGGGAAGGAACCCTCAATAGCGGAGCGCGGCTCGGGTGAGCCCACAGGTCTTAGGGTCGGCGGGTTAGGGTTCCTAGTAGAACTAGGGACTGACCCAACAACCGGCCTAGTGGGGGTGGATACAGCGCTGGCAGAATGCACACTCGACGCCCTCGGAGTCTGGGGGCCGACGACCGAAAAAGAGGAGGTAGTGGATGAAGGCAGGGCGGCCCGAGTCCGGGTTATTGATATCCTGAGGCCCTCGAGCTCCAGAGACAACTGAGTAACCGCTTCCTCGTCAGAGGCGGGTGTGCCCATACAAAGACAGCCTAGCCTGGCCTGCCTGTTGCCTGTCGATTTCCGAGTCCCTGGTACGGGAAAGGGATTGGATCGTAGGCCGAGGAGGGTATAGAAGAAGGAGAACGGCAAACCCAGCCGCCGTGAGAAGTCCAAGCAAGAAGGCACAGAGCACTGCTGCTATAGAAGTCCCCTGACAGTGAACCGGACAACCAAGTCCCCAAAAGTTCGAGTGAAGCCCTTCCGAAGCCAAAGACAAGACCTCCCGTACGAGGGGCCCCCACATTGCTTGAACCGCGAAGATGCACGATTCAAGCTCATCACTACTGTCA